GGGATGATTTTGGTATCTCAAATGGATTTCTGTCCCCGCAGAGCTGCCGGCCTCGGGGCGCCGCGCTCTCCGGGACGGGGCGCTGATCCTGTCCCGCCTGGAGCCCAACGACTCCATGGTGGCCCAGTGCGAGGCCAGCAACAGCCACGGGCGGCTCCTGGCCAACGCCTTCGTCTACGTCGTGGGTGCGTCACCCCAAAAGCCCCAAAACGCCCCAAAATCTGCTCAGGATCCCCCCCCAAAATCTGCTCAGTGTCCCCCCAAAATCTGCTCAGTGTCCCCCCACCAAACCCCCCAAAATCTGCTCAGTATCCCCCCAAAATCTCCTCAATATCCCCCCAAAATCTGCTCAGTGACCCCCCAAAATCTCCTAAAAATCCCTCCAAAATCTGCTCAATATCCCCCCAAATCACCCCAAAATCTGCCAAATCCCTCATAGGACCCCTGGGACCTCCCCAGGGATGGATTTTGGGATCCCGGGGATGGATTTTGGGATCCCGGGGATGGATTTTGGGGTCCCAGAGATGGATTTTGGGATCCCGGGGATAGATTTTGGGGTCCTGGGGATGGATTTTGGGGTCCCAGGGATGGATTTTGGGATCCTGGGGATAGATTTTGGGGTCCTGGGGATGGATTTTGGGGTCCCAGGGATGGATTTTGGGGTCGGGGGGGGGGGTCCCTGACCTCCCAAATCCCCCCAGAGCTGCCGGTGCAGATCCCTGGGTGTGGATTTTGGGACCCCAGGGATGAATTTTGTGTTCCAGGGATGGATTTTGGGATCCCGGGGATGGATTTTGGGGTCCCGAGGATGGATTTTGGGATCCCAGGGATGGATTTTGGGGTCCCGGGGATGGATTTTGGGATCCCAGGGATGAATTTTGGGATCCTGGGGATGGATTTTGGGACCCCAGGGATGGATTTTGGGACCCCAGGGATGAATTTTGGGATCCTGGGGATGGATTTTGGGATCCCAGGGATGGATTTTGGGGTCCCGGGGATGGATTTTGGGGTCCCAGGGATGGATTTTGGGACCCCAGGGATGAATTTTGGGATCCTGGGGATAGATTTTGGGGTCCCAGAGATGGATTTTGGGACCCCAGGGATGGATTTTGGGATCCCGGGGACGGATTTTGGGGTCGGGGGGGTCCCTGACCTCCCAAATCCCCCCAGAGCTGCCGGTGCAGATCCCTGGGTGTGGATTTTGAATCTTGGGGATGAATTTTGGGACCCCAGGGATGGATTTTGGGATCCCGGGGATGGATTTTGGGATCCCGGGGATGGATTTTGGGATCCCAGGGATGGATTTTGGGACCCCAGGGATGAATTTTGGGATCCCGGGGATGAATTTTGGGATCCCGGGGATGGATTTTGGGGTCCCGGGGATGGATTTTGGGGTCCCGGGGATGGATTTTGGGACCCTGGGGATGAATTTTGGGATCCCAGGGATGGATTTTGGGGTCGGGGGGGGTCCCTGACCTCCCAATCCCCCCAGAGCTGCCGGTGCAGATCCCTGGGTGTGGATTTTGAATCCC